ACAAACTCATCCCTGAAGTTTCCTTTTGCTGTCAATTAGTAATGACCTCTAACTTCTTTGTCAGCCCTTCACTGCTACAGTAGATATACTGTAGATGGCAGTATGCGTGATTTTATCTAAAAAATACTGACTGGTCCGTGAAAGGTTTTGGTGCCAAGAGGCAGACAATCAAAAATTTGCGTTGTCGTTAATGTGTTAACAAGTTTTAACAAGTTTTGTGTCGTCTACCTACCAACTAATTCATCCTATTTTCTAATCAACACTAATCCTCCCTTCTCCCCACAGTTCAACAAATCTGGAACGATATTGAATAATAAAAATGTCACTCTGTTTCAAGTTGATTATGTTAGAGTTGCACACAGAACACAGAAAAATGGGAGGGTTCCCACACCCAAGAATAAGTGGCGGCAGCTAGATACTTCATATCATCAGTTGTATTCTTATCTGGCTAAATTCAAAAACAGCTAAAAGAGGCGAAAACAGTTCCATTAGAAAGTTTTTCTTGTATTGCTGACCGTGAAGATGCTCTACCGAATTTTTTGAAGTGTTCTGCTTTATTGGAAAGCAATATTTTAGTGCTCCTGTTATCTCACAAGGGAAGGATACTCGATCGCAGTGACGATTGAGTAAGCGGTCTATACCGCGTATACCGTCCCCAGACGGTGATCTCTAGACCGCACTCCATACCTGCTATGGCGTCATTCTGAAAGACCTATCGAGGATTTTTGGCTGTAGGCGCATTTAAGCACTAGACTTGCCTCACACTGACGTTGTCGACTGGTGCAGTGGATAGTGGCCTGGAATGCCGATCCGTATTATTTCGTGGGTTCGATTCCTTTCGGATGCAGCCGGCTTTGCGTTTTTGCAAAATTCTTCATAGCTCTTCAAGAATAACGTCATAGCAGACAGATATGGAGTGCGGTTTAAAGATCACTGTCTGGCTATGGTATACGCGGTATACACCGCTTACCCGGTGGCGGCTCAGGAGTTCCAAAAGCTTCGCCGCCTTTCCTTGCAGGGGTACAGGGCTCCTAAATTGCATAGTCGCTTGCACCAGCGGTCGCGCGACCGCGTCGCGCCCGGGCATTTTGCCGGCGCCGGCGCCATCGATCGAGGCGGCGCCATTGATGCCCGGGCGCGACGCGGTCGCGCGACCGCTGGTGCAAACGACTCTGCAATTTAGGAGCCCTGTAGTTAGCACCTCCAAGGGGCCTTCGCACCTTTTAGACGGCTCCGCCCACTTGCTCCGCCCACTAGTTAATCTCATTTCGAGTTGTGCAGGCCTGGAGAATAGTCCCAATGTGTTCTGCTAAATGGGTGATGACGGATGGAAGGTGACAGGTGAGAAGTCATGAAGTCTAGTTTTGCGCATCGCTTTGTCAGAAGCAAAGATACTTCCGTTATCTCGACTTCCAGCCAGAGAATGTATATAGGTACTTCTGATGTGAAAACATATCCATTGAGCAAGTTGCACAAGTGCAATTGATGGATTTTCTAGTTTTTTCGGATTTTCGGGCAGTTGGATTTTTCTAGTTTTTTGGCTACAAATTCGCGTGGATCAAATTTGATGCAACTTTTAGACACTACCTTGTAGAGCTTGCTGTGCTCTATCGAATCAAAACCACGGAATCTATCCATAATAAGCGAAGTTTGACTTATTGCGGTTTAGAGCAGTTTTGAAACTAGATCTTGACTTATTAACCGAATAATTTGAGCCTCGCATCAATTTTAACAGCTTTTTCATAGAGTCTGAATGCGTTTCCAATACTGAAATTTCTTTTTTTAATTCATGTTCGTGCTTTTCAAGATAATGAATGATAAGAAAGACCTTTTTTTCTGGAGAGATGTTGATACTTTTGCGATTAATTTAAGCTAATTATCCGCTGAAATTCTCTAAATTTTCTGTTAGCATGCCAAAACGGTTCTGACCTACCACAGGTCGATGCAAAAGTTCTCGCCTAAATCAAAAAAAATTCAATCACTTACTAAGATTTGAATAAGTTCATGGCTTCTTCAGGAAAAGAAGTGGGTTTGCGCTTCGAGATGATTATCCCAGTTCATCTTTTTGTTGGCACCTCAGAGAAACAAGTTTGCAAAGATTGCACTGCAAATTTCGTTTTGAGTCTTTGTAAATAGTGCCAAAGTGGTAGTGGTAGTGGAAAATGCGATAGTCATCCTCAAGAAATCTTTTAAACGTTCATCGTACATAGCAATGCTCCGTACGTTTTGCAAGCTTTAATCTATGGTAATGCAGAAACAAAAACTGTGAAAAACCCTTTGCAGTGAAAATCAACTTATCAACGCATTTTCTTCACAAAACACAGTTTCAAACCAAAAATATACTCATTGCTTAGCTAGGGTACTATAAGGTTTTTTTGCGGTTTCAAAGTGTCTTTGCTTATAAAGTGCAATTAGGAGATTTGCCTCGCAAGATGATGATTTTTCATGAATTTTCGTTGCATGCCTATGCTATTCCCAGGCCGCATGCTCCGAATGAGACCCGGGTTTGACTCTGTTGCGTGAAGGTGCGAGGAGCCTTCTGGGGTATGAATGCTGGTGCGAATGGAGGTGCTAGGAACTCCTGGGTGTATGTCGAAAGGCGCGCGTTTTGGCAGTCGTCATTGCCAGAAGGGATTTTATACTCTACATAAGCGAGGTTTCCAAATTCTTAAAGCTTCGTCATCATATCGGAAATAGTAACAGAGGATTACCAGTTGAAATTCCCGAAGTAATAAACATGTTCGAACTTTTTTCCCGGTTTTTCTGATTGGTGATAATCGATCAATACGCTCCATTCGACCGTCTCCCGGAACTCCTGCGTCCCTTCCTGCTTACCCAGTCGTCACTGCGATCGAGTATACTTCCTATGTCAGAATTGACTTCAAAAAACATGACTGAAACAAAACATGTTAAGTTTACTCCGGACGTGGAAGGTAGACTGTCCTCATAGAATGTAAGAACTTTTCCTACATAAAAGCACATATCATGCGAACTCCGCGAACAAATGGGTTCGGATAGAAGAAAAAAGCTAAGCTTAAAAGCAGCCAAATTTTCTTTAGTAGCAGTATTCCATACACTATCGTCTCAGGCCTCAGACTCGCGTGAATTTGAACAAAAAATTTGATAAATATTTGCAAAATGCCATGATAAGGCATGATTTCAGTATAAAGAAGTCTGACGCACAAGAAGAAGCCGAGGTCAAAATTCTGATCTTTTTGTGAAGAACTGCAGTATTTTTTTGCAATTCCATGCGAAAATAAAGCCTGTTAGGTGATGTATGGGCTATTGCTATGTAGGAAGATTTTACAGATTTTTGGGGCTAGCTAGGGGAACTCTAGAATTTCTTACAACCAAACCCAAAGTCACGAAATCTGATGTGTCGCGTTTGAAAGCCTTATTTTTTGAATATTGAATGAATGAATGAATTTATTCATCCTCAGCGGTTATATACAGAATACCGCGGTGATTGCTTGAGTTAGGCAACTTCGATCTCGGTCGTCTTCGATGACAAAAATCCATTCTTGCTCGCGCCAAACAGCGCATTCTTGTCACGTCGCGATCTTGATCCATGACTTCTCGACTCAGTAGACGCGGTGGACCAGCCACGGTTTCTTTCACCTTGTCCTCTTAGTCCTATCATTGGTGGATGGTGTAGGTCAGAGCTAAGGCAGGCGCTATACTCCTCGAGGAGTATAGCATGGCGACGGGCGATCGCCAGTCGTAGCGACTGGCGATCGTCCGTCGTAGCGACTGGCGATCGCCAATATCGGCGACAAAAATCGCTGAATTTACACGTATTTGATGCATATCGATCGTCGCCATGCTATACTTCTCGAGGAGTATAGCACCTGCCTAAGCGCAACTTTTCGTGGGCTAATATTCAAAAATCAAGCCGTAAGCGGAATCATCGCGGTATCAATTGTATATAACCGCTGAGGATGAATAAATATAATGTAATGTAAAAAACCATGGGTTCGAAATTTCTTCTCTCCTCATCCTTCCCGCAAAAGGTCGGTTAGCTCTTAGGCAGGTGCTATACTCCTCGAGAAGTATAGCATGGCGACGATCGATATGCATCAAATACGTGTAAAACCAGCGATTTTTGTCGCCGATATTGGCGATCGCCAGTCGCTACGACGGACGATCGCCAGTCGCTACGACTGGCGATCGTCAGTCGCCAAACAAGTTACCGTTAAGTGTTGAATGTGAAAATCACTGGTCTTGCAGTTCATTCTTTCTAGGGCTACCTCACCGGCTGGTGTTTACTTTGAAATGGAAATGGGAAATGAGTAATGATCGCCAATATCGGCGACTACACGTTTGATACGTATCGATTAGCGACGGGCGATCGCCAGTCGCTACGACGGGCGATCGCCAGTCGCTACGACTGGCGATCGCCCGTCGCCATGCTATACTCCTCGAGGAGTATAGCGCCTGCCTTAGATAAAAATAGCCAAATTGTAATAGTAATACAATAGAAATATGAGCTCCTCTTTTGTTTCTTTTCGAATACAAAATAATTGATTTAGTTTGAGCTGGAAAGTTACTGAATTCCTTCCGACAATGAGTTACGCAAGAACTTTTGCATCAATTCAATCTCTTATCGCTGCCGTTGCGCCAATTTCGCAGACGGGTAATTTCAAAGCAGACGATGGTAACAGTGATGTTTAGACTTCTACTAATCGAATTTTTCGTATCCTCGTTATCGTGCCGAAAATTGTTGTGAACTGATTAGCGGCGAGGTCATCGAGACCACAGTACTGACCTTGCACCTCTGTCGACCTATTAAGTGTGTTGACAATAGCAAAACTTATCAGATCGGTTTTTCACCTCTTGGACCTCCCCATACCCTCTTGTCGGTGTGTTGTTTGCGCTGGGTAAACAGAGCGACCAGGGATTGTAGTTCTTGTCAATTACGTACCCTTTGCAGCGTTTTCCTATAGTTCATACAATTTTCCATATTCGATAGTGTCATTTTTCAGTTTTATCTTCATTTTAGCCTCGGCGATAACTGCTTACTCAACATGGGAAAATCTTTGGAACAAGTTACAATTCTATCAAATCCAGACTTTAGATACTGGTCTCAAATATTACAGCCGGTAAGCATCCCCTCTACTTCTCATCATGAAAAAAAAGGCACAAGATTTGTATGTTTCAGATGGTGGACACTGAAGATTGGGCATTTGTAGATGAGGACTATACTACATGGAAAAATTCTTTTGAAAAGTTTTGGCTGTTTACTGCTGTTGAGAAAGGTATAATATATGTACTTCCTTGGTCTCACATTGAGTGACGGGTGCTCTTATTTATCTGTTCCAAAAGTATAATCAAAAAGTATCAAAGAAGTGAAAGCTATTCAGTATGAAATTCACTGGTAAAAAAAATGATTTCAACATAGCCTTTTAACTCCATCACTAGAGTTTTAGCGCGTAAAGTCTAAAGCATTGAAAGACACTTCACAGAATTTGCATAAATTTGCAGTAAAATGTGAAAAATCGTGGATTTCTCCAGCATCGTCGAAATAATTTGTTTTGATTTGTGTTTTGTATATTTAATTTGATTTTTGTTTTGTATATAAGAGGAAGAAAATCAAGTTTTTTCACACAATTTGATTTTTTCATAAAAATATATCTACTGTCATGTCGCTGCTATAAAGCATTTGAAAAGATGCACGGATTTTTCTTCTTTGCTAAAAGGGTCTGTAGACCGAAAAGGATCAAATTTTATCATTGGTCCTCATTACTACTCTTTCTAGCTAGGGAATATTCAGGCACCATTGTTAATCAATCGACTTTCCTTCAGTTTTTGGTTCTATTCAGTAAAATATTTGATGTATGAAATATTATATTGTGTGCGTCAAACCATATGTTAAGATGTATTTTGAGCATTCTAGATCTCAAAATTTTCAACTATAGAATCTGCTTCAACCCGCTAGTTTTTGATTTTCTTTCAGACACTGACGAAACCGTTGGATGTATAACTTTAGCATTTGATCGATCCATATCTGGAAAAGAGGATGAAGAGTTATATTACGTTGGTTGACTCGCTCAAAATCACCCAAATTTTTAGAGTGAATGTCAGTTTTGTCAGGTAGGAATGTTTTATGTGCGCGAAGAATGGCGAGGATCTGGAGTTGGTGTCGCACTATTTGACAAAGTTATGGAAATTGCTCATGGCTCGAATATGACTTTGCATGGAGGTGAATTCTTCAGAATTCTCTTATCGTTTTTTGTAAGCTTCCATATCACTCTTTCAGTTTTGAAAATGTCGCAGAAGTACGCTACAAAATATGGATTCGACAAAATGCCAGATTATAAACATGTCTTTGCGTCAGTACCTACTGAGCATCTTGTTATACCGGAGCCGGATCATAGTTACATTTTAAAGGTGGGTAGGAAGCGCTTATCATAAACAGTGTGCCACTGAAAGGAAGACGGAAAGGCAAAAAGGCAACCAATGTCGTGAATGTTTATGTGAATTAGACAGTAGGAAACGATAATGCACTACGGTGCATGATTTGAAAAATTTTGGGCTTTCGAATACCTCTTCGTTCAATTTTTAGGTTATACTTTCTCAAACTATAGGCCCTTTCCACGCATTTATATATGAAAACTCTGTCGTTCTCAAAACCAAAATCTTCAAAATCTTTTCGCTAAGATGGTCACTCTATAGAAACCAAATAATGAGTCTTCTATTACCACCTAACGATTTTGCGTCTTAGCTTAGAAATAATGTAATGACTTTTGCTGTCCATATGATCTTGTAGAATCCCTTTGATAAGGATGTTTTGTTTACCATTAGTGCAAAGCTTTGACAACAGTTGGAATATTTAAAAGGCTATCCAAAGTACAAGAAATGAGTACTAGCTGTGTTCAATGCTCTTGCCACTTTTGCTCTTTTGCCCGTTTTGCAAGAGTCTTTTTGGTTTTACAAATAAGTTCATTCTCCCATTAGAGTCTGTCTTTACGATTGTTTCCTGCTTTCATTATATCCGTCCTCTTCAGATCTTTGTTTATTACACATCATTTGGTCAGATGGTTTTTCTACGGTTCATTTTCTGAACTTCCAGCTGTCCATAATAACCAGTTCAGGATTTGAAAGACGTCGACGAATCGAAGCTAGAAACTTACGACGCTGAAATTTGCCATAGAAGCCGAGCAAATTATCTACGAAATTTCATGAGTACGAAAGATTGCTATGTCAAGGTAATGAAATTTTTTTCGTACTTTTTACCAAGCTTTGAGATGTTGCATACTATTTTTTAGGTTGCTTTAGACCAATCAGGTAAAATCGTAGGATTTTGCAATGTTCGGTCAACAATAGCGAATACACTCTGTACTGGACCACTTTACGCAGATAATGAGGTAGTACCTTCATTGCTTGAAAAAAAATTTTTTTGGACAGCCGAGGAGGGGGTGAGGAGAATGGTAAGTTACGAGGAACCCACTTCTTGGAATCTTCGAAAAGAGCGGAGTTCTGCCAAAAAGGGGCAGATCGTCTAGTACCGATTCCTTGTTCTCCCAATATCTATATTTTTTGCAGGCCATCGCAAAATCTCTACTCGCTGGCGTTTTGTCCATGATCAAAGACATCAAAAAATATAGATACATTGCATCGCTGTTTCCTGACATTAATAAAGAAGCGCACGAGTGAGTTCGAGTTGAGAATTATTTTCGCTGCTCGAGTACTACTTGATGTTTTAGTCTCTTTCAATCGCTCGGAGGAGGCCACACCAAAATTGCTCCTTTTACTCAATGTGCCTTCACTAAGAAGGTTTTACCAATACCGGAGCAGAAAGTATTTGGAGTGATCGAATGTGCGAACAGTTTCGTCTGAATAAAGAAGATATTTACTAATTGCATTGTTTTTTGCGAAGACATTATTCTTCTGTATATACAGCCACACAAGAGTACAAATCTAGATCTTGAGAGGAGTTTATTCCGGTTGAATTATCAGGTATTTATTATCATTATCTATATCTATTATCAGCCAGAAACAATTATTTGAATGTGACTGAAATGTATTAGGTGGTCTCGAAAGTTTTGTCCGTTTTTTTCATCGCTCACTAAAATTTATGGAAAACCAATCCATGGGCGGCTTAGGTACCATTTGGTTCAGATTTTTATACTCTTTCTTACAGCTATACTTGCTTTCTGATCTACCTTGTCTTTGCAATGTTATCGCCATGGGTATTTGAGCAGCTCAGCAGTAACACCAAATCTTTCCTGAATTTTGAAAATTTTTATCCTGATGTTTTCAAAGAGTGCTAGTAACCCTTATGTAGAGCAAATCTTCGACTACATTGTACACATTTTAGATTACATGGATGACTTTTCCAAGTCCGTTATAACTATTTATTCAATAAAAACCGCGGCTTTTTGATTACGTTTACTCACTCAAAAGTATCGAAAATTCAAGAAGCAGCCTTTTCAAAGCAAATCAAACTTGGTTATGTTGCACAAACAATGTTTAATAAATCATGTTTTAGTTTGCAGAAATACCAAAAGCTTTCATGTATTTGTGCAGTTACATGTTTCATGACTTTCCAAAAATCGAAACCTTCAAAGAATCAATTTTTTCAAGCTAAAAACAGCAGATTAGGAGGACCCAAAAATACTGCCTTATAGTACGAGAATTGCTCTATTTGATCTATACTTAATCCTTTCCGAAACTTTGGAATAAAGTTTTCAAAAATCAGCTAAACTTTGAGCATATGAAATTGACGCGCGGAGAATTTTGGCACTTATCAAAAAAAGCATAAAAGATTTTGGTTCGAAAGTGTGATCAGAAGAAAGAGATGGGAAAGCTGCATCGAATGCTTGTTGGAACTTATTCAGGTCTTTATTGTGCGTGGCTTTACAGTGGTTTGAAAAAACGTACAAAACTTTCGGGACAGCCTAATATTAAGATAGAATCGTATGTATTGTGCGAATACTATTTTGTGGAAGAAAGGCTGGCATAAGCATAGAATGCTTGAAGTATTATTAGGAAAGAACTTCAGCAAAGCTTCCAGCTAACATGAACTGCTGAAACAATTACTCGGAAGTGAGAAAATCGCATCGGAAAGTCATTTCTCGATTTCCTATTGCCCTGCGCCCAAAAAACAGGTTTTCGACTCTTTTACAAGCTGGGCAGGTTCTCAGACAATTTACCGGAAGTTCCACAGGACTAGCAGAACTTGCAGCTGTTTCGCAGCATTTTCTTAACCATTGAGAAAGCGACGCTTCATTATGCGGGGTTTCCGCAGGAAATTGACGTCGGAGCGATTGTAAACCGGGACTTTCGCAAAAGCGTTGCGAAAATGCAATAAAAACGTAAGGTTTCCGCACTTTTACCTGCCAGCATTTTCGCAGGATTTTAAGATTGCATGCAAATTTGGAATCGAACAGGGTCACAGAAAATCCAGAAGCGGAAGAGATCCTGGGTTAGAGATCTTCCAGGGCTTTGTGTGCTCAGTAATCTTGCTAGGAAGTGAGAGAACCATTGGGAAAAATTGAACTGAAACTTTAGAGTTCTAATCATCTCTTTCTAGAGGACCATAGTAGCACTATGGTTCATATGCTCAATTCTGTCTCCCTATATACAATACCGCTCACATTTTTAAAAAAAATAGACGCGAATGTATGGACATGTATGGATATGTACGAACATGTCAATACATGTATGGGCATCACCGTCGCGTGGCCATATCTCGCTTCAGAGTGGACGAATTCTGAATCCAAAGCCACCATTCGATTCAGCTCGGCGCGGAGAATCTTCTGATATATTGGAAGTGGGGTTACGATGTCTTCGAATTCCGTTTCCAGTTTTTCAATTTGTTCTGCGGAGGTCCTTTCGCGAATATGTGAAGTAACGCCTACCCAACACAGAAAACTTTACTAACAAGGAAAGGATACTTGGTGACCGTGGCCTTTTGTAATGAGACGTACACCACTGAATGCGTTTTAAAGCGCTAATTCCAAATCTGTTTTCATTATCTGCTGTGCGCTCTTCCGAAAGAAGTTATGAACATTTCTTGCCACCAAAATTTGCACTATTTTTGATGCAGGATTCACCAATATCGTTAGAATATTTGCTTACGCACTACAAAAGAGCGTACAGATAAAGTTAAGCTTCACGTCAAGCTCAGGAAAATTGTTGTCGATACATCAGAGTCTAAAAAGGCTGGATACTGACGATTTTGATGGCCTAAATCTCACAAAACCGATACGGAAAAAAGTCCATAACTTCGTTCAGGGAGTCGCACAGCAGATAATAAACATAGATTCAGAATCAGCGTTCCAAGACGCATCTACTGGTATACAACTTTTTGCAAAAGGCCATGGTCACCAAGTATCCTTCCCTCGTAAGTACTATTCGATAATACTGTTCTTATAGATTATTGTGCGCTAAAAAATGCTCAGAATTCTTTCCAAAGGAGATAGAAGCGTTGGTGGTTGGAAAAATCACGCGTTTTTAATTTCTACTCGCCATAACTTCCTTCGGAATAAGTATAGTTTGAATCCGAAAACAGCGCCTTGCTCAGCTCATCAAGGCGAATCTTCTCATTCACAGCATGTCCTTGATATTTCGATTTCAGTATTCTTGAATCTTTCTGAGGACGTCTTTTCGCGAAGGTGTAAAGCAGCGAGCATTGTCCCGAGTACATTCCAGCTCTTTCGATAGCGCTTTTTCTGTAGATTATGATGTGCTAAATAGTAGCCGCAGGTTTCTTTTCAAAGGAAATAGAACGGCTGGTGAATAGTGGAAAAATCTTGTCGTCCCAAATTCTACTCACCATATCCGCAGGATACGAAGCTATCTCGCTAAGCAGATGTGAGTTTCGAAATCAGCAGGTCGCATAACCTCTACGAGCAAGTTTTCCGATATGTTCGGGTTATTCGATTTTTTTCTTGTTTTACGGAAGCTTCTTTCTCCGGAAGCTCGCCGATGGATTTTGGTCAAAATGTTGATGCTCTTGTATTGTAAGGAAACTTCGCTTATAGGGGTTTTCGAACACGCTCTTTACGAAAATCGCTGTCTTTGAGGATTACAGGGCCGTTTTGGAGAGATGACGGTGAGGTGACTGTAACTGCATCACGAAAGTGGGTTACTTTGGCCGCACTTCTCGCGTATCTGTCAGAACCTTGCCTGCTTGCTTTTCTCAGTCAAAGTTACTAGGATCTATGCTACCGAATGGTGCATTACTCAGGCTCCAGTCTGTGAAATTCGCCGAGTTACGAGCCCACAAAAACACGTCCTCATGAATTTTGCCCAAAATGTAAAGATCGCATATTTCGTCGAAATTTCTCCGTGAGCGCTTGTACAACGCGCTGATCAAATCCTTCCACATTTTAATGGATCTTATTGTGTTAGATTTAGTGCTTTGAGCTCTAGCCTCGAAATAGCTTTGATATTCAATTGAGCAGCTGAAGCAGACGCAAGCACCATATTCAGTACAGTGGGAGTCGTTCGATGAAGCGAACATAATGGCCCGTAGTAAACCCCCCCCCCCATCCGGGCATCTCTCTCGACGCGGACCGGAGTTGAGGTCATCGCGCTTCAGTCCAGCATCCAGTGTGCTATTGATTTGGATGTGGATCGCTTCCTAGACATGATAACCACATGTGTAAAAAACCAACCACTTGAGCTGGTCTGGTCAAACGGATAAGCGATTGGAATCACACGCGCGCGGTCGTGGTTCGACACGGCTAGCGCCACAACTTTTACTGCATCGCCGGACAATCTTTGATAGCGGCCACTGTCGAAAAAAATCGATGATGACCGCTAACAAGGATATCAATCAGCAAATGGACAGATAAAACAAAACTGACATATTCTGATGGAGAGTTCATGAAAAACTGAAATTTTTGGAACATAAATAAAACGTAATAAATAAGTAGATTCTCTTCTAAAGTAGTTTTTACAAGAAACTAAGATTGCTCTGCAAAAAAAGAAGAAAACTTTTATCCTTGCTTTTGTCGCCAAAATCAGCTGTTCATCGATCCTTCCCTTTTCGGGCGCCGGTATTGTGCAGTTTTGCGCCGATTTTTTCTGCATTTTTTGGCAAAGTTGTGTGTATCGTAAGTTACTCAGGAGCAACTTATGTTAGATGATCCGTTCACGTTGAGGTGACTTGAACGTGAACTGATGTGGAAGAGTTGACTGCGGCAGGTGGACAGATGGTCAACTTTCAATTGACTTGACCATCTTATAGCATGGGAACGTGGACGGTGATCAGTTCACCTCACCTAAGGTGAACTGATGGGATAAGTTGAGTTCACCTCAACTGATCGAGCTTTACTACGGGCCAATATCTGCAACGAGCGTCATACAAGCGCTCACGGAGGAATGTCGACGAGATATGCGATCTTTACATTCGAAATTCATGAGAACGTGTTTTCGTAGGCTCGTAACTCGGCGAATTTCACAGACTGGAGCCTGAGTAATGCACCATTCGACAGCACAATTCCTAGTAAATTTGACTAAGAAAAGCAAGCAGGCAAGGTTTCTGACAGATACGCGAGAAGTGCGGCCAAACTTACGCACTTTTGTGATGCAGTTACAGTCACCTCACCGTATCTCTCCAAAAAGACCCTGTAATCTTCAAAGACCACGATTTTCGTAAAGAGCGTGTTCGAAAACCTCCTAAGCGGAGTTTCCTTACAATTCAAGAGCATCAACATTTTGACCAAAATCCATCGACGAACTTCCGGAGCGCAAAACGAGAAAAAATGGAATAACCCGAACATATCGGAAAACTTGCTATTTTTCCAAAATTCACCAACGCTTCCGTCTCCTTTGGAAAGAATTCTGAGCCTATTTTTTAGCTCACAATAATCTATAAGAACAGCATT